TTCACAAAGAGTAGGTAAGTACCCGAGGTAGGTACTTACTTACTTACAGCATCTAGGTAGGGCTCAAGTGGCAGGATATTGCGACAGCCTGGGCCACAAGGCGGTGTGAGATGCACGTACTTCTCACTGAGAAAGAAAGAAACACAAAAAAAAAAAAAACCTCTGTGATCAGGAGGGGGTAGTGGCATCTGCAGAGTAATGTGTGCATTACAAGTCAGGGCCTGTCGGAGCAGTGGACAACCGGCCACGAAGAACAGTCTAGCCAGCTACACGTATGTTTGTCGATTTGTTTCTGGGTGGCCGTGAGGGGACGAAGGGGGGAGGGGGGCCCAAAAGTGGGGGCGGGCCGAGGTGGCAGGCGGATCAGAAGGGGAGTGATGGGCCGGTCCAAGGTCGAAAAGGGCATGTACCCTGTAGGAGGTACGGGCGCTGCGAAGGTACACAGTACTCAGTACTTGGGGCGGAGTTCTGTGACTACAGTATGGCACAGTAGCAGTTGGCATGGTGGCTACTGCCCGCTGGTGGATGGCTGGTGGCTGGTCACTCACTGGTCGCCCCTGGACAAAAACAATGAGAGAGGAGCACACACGCACACACGCACACACACGCGGGCAGCCCAAGGCAAGGTGCCAGGAACCAGGCGGGAAAGGGGGCAACGCGTGCCTTCCCCTTCCCAGCGAAACCGGGTGCGCCTGCCTCGTCTTGGTGGCTCTGGTTAGGCCTGGTGGGAGGTGCCCGCAGGATCACTCCCCCAAGTCCCCGCCGAGTAAAAACGCAGGCACCTCGCCTCCCACCTCTCTGCCTCCTCTCTCTTTTGCTCTCCTCTCTACCACGCAAAATCACCATACAAATCCCAACACCACACAAATTCGTGCCTACACCTCGTGAGTACCTCTGCACCCACGCATCCTCCACCAATTCTCAAGTCACCCACTTCACGAATTATCGTTACCACTACCACCACCAACTGCACAATCTTCTACATCGCATCACTTGCAACCGATTCCGCACCACAGGTCCCATCTCAATGCGATAAATTTCGATCGAGTTGGGCCTTGTGTTGTGGCTTCACGAGCTTTGTCGCATTGCATCTTGGGTGCATTGCGTGCATCTATCTTGAGCTTGATCAAGCTAACCAGAGCTTGACGCGTCCAGACTCCAACAACAACAACCCTTTCAACTTTTTCCAAACCAATCCTCAGGTACGTTTTGAGGTCCAACATTGTCGATTTCGAGCTTCAAACGCGTATTGGGACGCGTTGGCGAGTGCAATTGCGTTTGCGACCCCCATTGTCTCTCACATGTAGCACACCTACCACCACCCAATTCCCTGAGGCGATAGTCCGACGAACAAGCTGTCGCATCTCAGCGTTCACTTGGCCTGTTCGATTCTCTCGACCCGTCCATCCACCCCCCTCCCTGCCTTTTCTCTTCGACTCGCACAGTATTCAAAGCCTTAGCCGTCTTAATCAGGACACTGACCACTCTTCGTAGAACCATCAAAATGCCCAAGGCCGCAGCTAAGCGTGGTGCCGGTGAGAAGAAGGCCAAGAGGGCCAAGAAGGACCCCAACGCCCCCAAGCGCGGTCTCTCCGCCTACATGTTCTTCGCCAACGAGCAGCGCGAGAACGTCCGTGAGGAGAACCCCGGCATCTCTTTCGGCCAGGTCGGCAAGCTTCTCGGTGAGCGCTGGAAGGCCCTCAACGAGAAGCAGCGCGGCCCCTACGAGGCAAAGGCTGTTGCCGACAAGAAGCGTTATGAGGACGAGAAGGCGGCGTACAACGTAAGTATTCCTCGCCTAAAACCAGGGCCATCACACAGTAAAACTAACATGTCCCAGGCCGAGGCTGAGGACGACGAGTCTGCTTAAGACTTCCGCAGTTTTTGAACTCCACCATTCTCTCTCTCTCTATCGTGTACTATTGGACTCCGGCGCGGCTGTATGATGGAAACGGACTTGGGTCGCTGGCAGGGGCGAAATCTTTCCTTATGTGTCTTTTGGGCTGGCGGCAGGGCAGGATGGTTGTGCAGTCTGCTTCTGCTGCACCTTCGGTTAGGCATGGCAGCTTGTTAGCTCGTTCTCGCGTATCGCGCGTTAGATCCTTGCTGACGAGGCATTGACGTCCTAACTTGATGAACTGAACATGACAGACCAAGGCCCTTTCCATGATGCTCAATTCGTGGCCCCATCCTTTGGCTTGTGGCCGAGATGTGCCGTGTTAAGATGCTTGGGCTGCTAGCTCCACATCCGGCCTCATGAGATCGACGCCGGCCCGGTCAGCCACAAGGCCCGCGTTTCGGCACTTTCTATAAGGTGGTCCCCAAATGCTCCTCCGTCATCCCCGATCTTTGTACGCATCAGTCACCGACACTCTGGAAGCATGATTCAACGGGGTAGAAGGCCTCCGACATGGCTAGGCCAGGGTCTTGAAGTCTACGTGAAGTAGAGCACGGCCCCCTCATCAGCATATAAGGATGCTAATGGGCCAATCCTTAGACTGGGCATGTCAAACTAGGTAACCCAGGTAGGTATGGTAGATTGAAGATAACTGGCTCAGCATGCATGCCGCTGCCTTTTCCCACTTTGCCTCGACTGAGTGGCCTGTGGTGCACGATCCTGCAACAAGGATCAAGCCTTGCCGTGGCGGGTTGTTTGCGCCTCTGAAATAGACAGGGCTGCTGCCTGCTTCCCAGAGCTGTGGTTGCCTCACGTTGGAGTCACACCAAGGGGGGGATGTGGACGTTCCTGCCTCAATTGACAATACCACATCCATGACTTATTATTAAGGAAGACGCTGTCCCATGCTATTTCTACCGAGTGGGTTCCGTTCGCTTCAAAGCCTTTCCTTTTCGTTTGAGAGTCACTGATCTACCTAGCTACAATACCATCTCTGCCTCGCGACATTTCCATTTATTCGCTGCCAACCCACAGGACTCACGACGTCATGTATCAGGCTGACATGTCTCGTCAGCATCCCTATCTGCACCGCTCTCACTAAATCGGTCAATCGAGTCGCACATCCCGCGTCGGTTTGCGAGCTGCCGCGAGACTGCCCACAGCATGATCCACGTCCTTTGCGTGCTGTGACCTTGCACACCCGTCCTTATCCGACAAATTGTGCGAGGGGAGCAGTTGATGTGGTATATGGCACGGGGACACGCACGCCGCCCGCCATTCTTCCCATTGCCCCATTCCCAGAGGTATATGAGCTTTCTCAGCGGTAGAAGCGAGGGTGCCCAACCCATTCTTGTTCTTGGTCTGAATTGACCACCGCACTTCCGCCAAAGGATCCACCCCATATGCGGCATCATCATGCAAGAGCAACGACAGCCCCCGCAAACTCCGAATCAGCCTTCTTGCTGCCAACGCGCGCTGTACAGAGCTACCCGAATGGGGCCAGATAGGCCCGCCTCTGTGGCATGAGCGCGCAGGGGTCATACGCTGGCTGTCGTGGCAGCCTCTGGGACGTCCAACGCCGCAAGTCGAGCAACCCAGCGCAGCTCGTTTGGTCAATATACGATACGCCTGTTCTCCTCTCTCTTGCTTTTGCTGCTAAAGCATCGTCGCTGTACATCGGCACCGAAAACACTTGGTCGCAGTTGGCTTTTTTTTGGCCTTGGTGCTGCATGACAGAGACTGACGGGGACGGTGACCGATCGATGGCATGCTTGGGGTTTCGTGCAGGGGCGGATCTCGGAAGACTAAGAATGCTTTGTGGTGAACAGGCCTGCGCAGTGGGAGCTGTCCGCCCACGAACACAGATCAGTCACTGAAAACGACGTGCCTTGAGCTACACAGGCACGAGCGATCAACAACCCATGGGTGAGCACTACCGGCCACCCGGTGCCCCTCCCCTGTATTTCGACCGCACGGTTCGATGGGGGGGCGGTGGTGGCGTGGTGGTGGTCCATGAGTTGTCCGTCAAATCGCGGCCTGCAGCTTCGAATCGCAAGTGCAGCTGGGTTTGGCCCTCGGTCACCCGTTCGAGGGCGCTTTGCTGGCTTCCAGATTTCTACTGCCGATATTTGCGGAGTCACCTCATTCTTGTCTGTTTCGTCGGAAGTGAAGTTTCTCGTTGGAATCGCATCTCGCGATCCGCTCTCCCTCGTCAGCAGTGCACCAGAAGGAAAACCAACTACTATTTCACTCTTTGCTTCTCAGTCGCTACAAGCCGCTCAAGTCAATCAACACTGAACAAGATTTCTGATAGGCATGAGCCGCGGAAATCGGCCTCCACTTGCTCTGTCGCGGCGACCACCACCCTCCGAGTAGGCTCGCGATGAACTACTAAGTCGCTCCCTGCCACAATGCCGACCCTCGCCATAGAGCGTGCCGGCCAGGCCGATGTGCACCTCCTTCAGGGCTGCTGTATTGAAGCCGAACGCGCTGATATAGTTGCCATTCGTCTCGATGGTCTTCGCCTTGCTTTGCCCGAGAATTTTCACCCACATATGATGGCAGTCATTGAAGAAATTCGCGGTTGTGCCCGCATACTGCGAGATCTTGCTGACCGCGGCCACGTCCATATTTTCCGCGTGCCTATGACGCTCAACTACCTCAACCTCGTCCTGCCATGTTTGTCCCGCACACTCAGAGATATGACCATGTATTACGAGGATAAGACTGTTCGTAAGGAAATTCGGTGGCGCAGGATGTACAATAAAATGAAGGACGAGGTGGAAGGGCTGCCCCTCCCTCAACGATTCGTGGTGTACAATCACTTCCTTACCATGGTCCGGCGGCTTTTGACTCAGTAAGTATATCCTATCTCTATCAGGCTCTCAGCTGACCATGCAGGTCGAAAAACTTTGACTTCGATGCGCTGGACGTGCTCAACAACCGAATCATGAGGTTTCGAGAACTCCGCGGCATATGTACGTTACCAGCATCGTCATGCGATCGTGTAGAAGGCTCACTAGCGAAAGTGCCACCTGCAAACCAGGCAGGCCCTGTCGTCCGTCGAGAAGTCATGGCCCTGACTATACCCGTGGCCCAAGAACCGGTTCGTCAAGCTGATCGTTGCCACCTTCGACGCACCCTAAAAGAGTCACAGAATGGCCACTGGGCCGAGCAGATCTTTTCCATCCCTCTTTCATCTCGTACGGCCTTCAAGCAAGCCAAATCGTCTACTTCTTGGGGCCCTCATACGCCATGGGGGCGTCATCTTGCCATACCGCGAGACCCAAAGATCCTCTTCAGGCGCCCATTTGATAATGACCGCTTAGCTCTGATGGTATACATCAGCCCGCTAGATCAGGGCTCATATCTACTCCTCCGATCATTTCAAAGCGGTGCGCCCTGGTACGCTCTCCGTGGAGCTCATGAGCTCTGCATCAGTCGCGAGGGTGGTGCCCTACAATTGCGAAGATGGAGTACCACTGCGCAGTGCGCCAGAGCGTGGGCAACGCTAGTCTTCAAGACATGGGAGGGTAAGTTAGCTTGTCTTTACCTGGAAACACGAGATCAGGCGCTAAACATACAGAAATGATCTTGTTCCATTGCACGTTCATGTCGCTGAAGTCCCGGAACGCCTTGACTATCCAGATCAGCCCCAAGGAATACAAGCTGTCAAGCGAACGCCGACTTTTCCAGGCGTACGTCTCCCCCCTCCTTTACAAAGTAAGGATCATCGTATTAATAGCATGGCAGCCAGATAATAGACGACGGCTTTAAGCATTCATTGATCGTATATGAGGATGTCGAAACCAAGGGGATCCGTCTTCATGCCGCCGTTTGGGAAGGCGAGCTTCGCCGCTGCCCCGTGTGGACGGCTTTCGGTATGCAAAACCCCTGGCTGTCATTGTTTGCTCCCACCAATACCAAAGCCTGGTTCTGCCATTCCTTTATCTGTTCCTCCTTTGTTTGCCTTTCCTCAGCCTTACAGAGACTGACCAGCCGCACGATCGCAGTAACCCATCAGTCATCCTCCCTCACATGGCTCCACCGCAAGTCCGCCCACCGCCTCTGGCTCCGTGATATCCACATCTACGTCTTCTGCTCCCGCTACCGGTCCCATAACCAACGACCCGGCCCCGCCGGCGCCTTTGAGCTCTATTTCGTCGAGACTGTGGCCGCTGCGCACTTTCGCGACTTGTTCAACCCCCTAAGGCCGTCTGCCGTCACGGCGGCACCCTCTTCGTACAAGGCGACTGTAGAGGAGGGAGACGATAGTTGTTGATGCACTGTTCTGACTTGGATGAGAAAGAGAGAGAGAGAGAGAGAGAATGATATGCAGATGCAAGGGTGGGTCCTAGCCATCAGTTGCCATCTGGGAAACGACGAATCAGCCCAGCATCGCGGCTTGACGGATTGATTCTTGCGCTTGGCAATTGGGAGGGAGACGGTAATGAGGCGGACGTATGCACAGAATTCGATTGACGACTAACGAGAAAATGTTTTACGAGACTGACGATTCATGACGAGATACCTCTCTGCTTACTTTGTGTAGCATCGCAAGGCCGATAGTAGCGCACAAATAGCATAACAATTTGAACATTCTTCCCTCACACTTGGGCGGCAACAACATTTTTACCATCGAATCACAATCAAGTGACGAAATAAGATATGAAAGAACGTGATGCAAAAAATACACGCATGCTCAATGTTGGCCTAACATTACTTCGTACCCATGATACCTCCCCGTTTCGTCACGTACAAGTCATCTCGTTTCGTTTTGTCTTCATTTAGGTCTTGACATCAGGCTCGTCACGGCCAACGTACTCTTTGAACTTGAGCAGCTCGGTGGCGAACTTAATCTCAGGCTTCAGGAAGTCCTGGGCATCCTGGTCGTAGGTGCTGGGATCGTTACTGTACTGCTCGATGTACAGGCGAATGGTGGCGCCAGACGAGCCGGTACCGGACAGGCGCACGACGATGCGGCTGCCAGACGAGAACTTGGCGTAGAGACCCTGTCCAGAAGACACAGAGCCATCAAGGTCAGTGTAGGAGAAGTTGCCGGCCTCGGTGACCTCACGGTCGCTAATCTTGCTGCCGATAAAGTCGGACTTGTCAACGAGTTCCTTGAGGGTGCCAACGACCTTGGCGGCGCCGTCCGAGTCGACATCCTCGTAGTCATACCGGGTGAAGAAGGTACGGCCGTATTCAGTCCAGAAGTCCTTCTGGATCTGCTTGATGGAGGGGGTGACACCGGGGTTCTGAACACCGATACCAGCGATGACGTTCAGCCAGGCCACCACGGCCCACAGGCCATCCTTCTCGCGAATGTGGTTGCTGCCAGTACCAAAGCTCTCCTCGCCGCAGATCGACAGCTTGTCCGAGTCAAACAGGGCGCAGAAGAACTTCCAGCCGGTGGGCACCTCGTAGCAGTTTAGGCCTTGCTTCTTTGCCACGAGGTCAACGGCGCCAGAAGTGGGCATGGAGCGAGCGAGACCGAAAACGCCATTCTTCTTGAAGTAAGGAATGAGGTGGGCGTGGTGCGCAATGATAGCAAGAGAATCGCCAGGGGAGACAAAGGCGTTGGCGCCGTAGATCATGTTGCGATCACCATCACCATCAGAGGCGGCGCCGAAGGGGATGTTGTGCTTGTCGACGACCTCGACGAGCGAGTGGGCGTAGGTCAGGTTGGGATCAGGGTGGCCACCGTTGAAGTCGGGAGAAGGAATGCAGTTTTGCGTGGCGCCCTCAAGGCCGAGCTCCTTCTGGAAGATGTCGATGCCGTAGGGGCCGGTGACACCGTGAAGACCGTCAAAGAGGACCTTGAAGTCGGGGTGGGTGGAGAAGAACTTCTTGATGAGGTCAAAGTCGAAGATCTCCTTGAGCATCTGGGTGTAGTCGGCGGTGCTGTCGATGATTTCGACTTGGAGGTTGCCGATGGTCTGGGTACCGATGGTGGAGAGGTCAACATCAGGAACGTCGGCGATCTTATAGGAGGTCAGGGTCTTCGAGGTTTCGTAGATCTTGTTGGTGACGGATTCGGGAGCGGGACCACCGTTGGCAAGGTTGTACTTGATGCCGAAATCGTTCTTGGGGCCTGAAGAAACGCAATTAGTCTTGGTCGCAGAGGTAGAAAACGCAGGGGACGAACCGCCAGGGTTGTGGCTGGCTGTCAGCAGAATACCGCCCGTGGCCTGACGCTTGCGAATGATGTGGCTGGCAGCAGGCGTGGACAGGATGCCGTTCTGGCCGATGAGAAGTTTCTTGACGCCATAGGCGGCACCAATCTTTGCGATCAGCTGGCAGACCTCGGGGTTCCAGTAGCGGCCATCACCGCCGATAACGAGGAAGGACCCCTCAACGCCCTCTGGAATAGAGAGAAGGATGCTGGCGACGAATGCCTCGCTGTAGTGAGCTTGCTGGAAGACGGTAACCTTCTTGCGAAGACCCGAGCTGTATGCATGTCAGTAACTTGATAGGGGAGCTTGAAAACGTGTCGCAAGACGAATAGGCTTGATCGGGAGGGGAGCTCATCAGAGCTCTCAAGCAGTGATGCAATGGCGGGGTAATTTGGGACCTGGGGTGGATGGGGGTCGGTGGCATGATTCAGATTCCAGGAGATGAGAGTCAACGTACGTGCCGGGCTTTTGGTCCTGGAAGGGCTTGAATTCGACGGTCTGAACGCTCATGGTGGATTGCAATTCGAAGCAAAAATCTGGGATGGAGAAAGAGGAAGAAATGGTGGAAGAGGGTTTGTTGGGACGAAAGTTGGAAGAGGGAGATTTGGGCTGGGGGTAGCATTGGGTCTGGCTGAGGGCGCTACACCAGAAGCTGTCGCTGATGGTGGGGTCCGTCTCCAGCTGCTGCATCGCTCGTAGTTGCCACAGGTGATATCATTTGCGCGCGGAAAGAAGCGTCCAGGGGTGGCTGCCACTGCTGAGATCGAGGATTCTGGCGAACAATGCGCCGAGATTGTATCGACATTGGGTTTTCAATCTTGCAGCTCCATGGAATTGAACCGCTGCCAGGCTTTTTTATCGACATGAGTCTACAATGGCGAGCGAGGCACATCCGGGGTAGGCTCCACGATGCTACGGTACGCCGCCTGACTGGCTAGTCCTGAGTCAATGGATGCCACTTCGTCTACGGGTCATGCCCTCGGCAGCCTGCAGCTACCACGGGTTGTTTCTACAAGCAAGCCAGCTAGCTACATCAAGTTGTTCGCCCATTGTTCATCGTCGCTTGTCGGCTCCGTAGCCAAAGTCTCCCGGCCCTGACTCCACGTGGCGCCGAAGATGACTTCACGATAGTATCGTGCCTCGGCGATACTTTCTTTGATGTCCTCCCTTCCGCGATGCGTCCCTGTCTTGACCGGCGCCCCCTCGACTATCTCTCTCGGACACCATCGCTTCGCTGCCTCCTTGAGACTGCTGACATCTACGATTCGATGATGTAAGTGCTCGACAATGGGCGTGTACGGTTGTTTGGCCAGAAAGCCTCGATCCGCATGCACCGTGTTACCTGCGAGCAGGCCCACCTTCGGCGTTGGCACGTACTTTCTGATGTGCGCCAGCAGGCCCTCCGCCGCCTGCTGAGGCGTCGTCGTCGAGGCAAGGACTGCCTCCGTGAGGCCCGTCTTGGCGTGCATGTCAGTGCACCACTCGCCCATTTGGTCGAGTCGCGACGCCGGCTGGTGGACGACGACACCCCAGCCGGGGCCGTCGAGCGGCTCGAGGTTGCCTGTCGTGATGATGCAGTGGATCTCGAGGATCTCCTCCGTGTCAGGGTCAAGGCCCGTCATCTGGCAAGGTCAGATTCTCATTTCTGTTACATGCTTCGATGGGTGTAGAAACTTACCTCACAGTCAATCCACACGAGAGGTCCATCCGAAGCTGCCTGTTGAGGTACAGCTTTGGCTGGCGTAGCACGAGAGCGGAGGTAGTCCATTGTGTGTTGAAGATCGGTGTCAATGGACTGCCTCGCAAAGGTCGAGGTGCTTCAACTTACTGCGGTTAATACCTGAGCTGTGGCGAGGTGGAGTTGAGAGCGTTCCACAGCAACGACTTACATCATCATTTCGACCGATTCTTCTTGAGCCTTTCTCCGTCCCCATTTTGACTGCTGGTCCGGGATCTCACCGAGACTTTCACCGGGTCGGTAATGGGCACTTTGTCATTGGTTCCGAGGAAAATCTTCAGCTGTCAACGGCTGCCAAGAGCCCCGCCACCCTGTCCTCGACACGAACAGGAAGAAGGAGCTCATGTTGAGCTGCTCAACCCATACACTCGTCGTCCACTTGAGCACCCATATGCAGAACGACATCTCCAACTCATCATTCGCAGCCTGATGGTCACTTACATGCAGCCACCACCCAGCTGCGCACAACCTACGCAACGTTACATCTGAAGTTGACCGCCTCAATCCGTCATAGGATCGATCATCTTTGCCGTCATAAAAAGGAAGACATTCTGTGAACAGCTTTGGCCGAGCAGTACCACCATAATCTTTCCAGACTGTTACTCTCGGCCTGCCCCATCACCATGTCGCCACCTCGTTTCCTCGTCATTGGTGCCGGTTCTCGTGGCTATGCCTACGCCGGCGCTATCACGGACGAGACCGAAGCATCATTGCAGCTGTTGCTGAGCCCCTACCCTACAAGCGGACCGAATTTGGGCGCGACTTCATCTGGGGTGCAGATGGCTCCCCTCAAGAAGGCCAGTCTTTTCCTGACTGGAATGCTTTCCTGACATACGAAACCGCCCGCCGAGCCGCTGCTTCTGCTGGCGATTCAGTTCCTCCTGGTGTTGACGGTGTCCTCATTTGCGTTCTAGATGAGATGCACCGCGAAGTCATCATGGCACTGGCCCCCCTTGGCCTTCACACTCTTTGCGAGAAGCCACTTGTGACAACTCTCAAAGATTGTCTAGATATCCATCGCGCCCTGAAGCCCTCCGCCCTCTTTTCTGTCGGCCATGTCCTCCGCTACAGCCCCCACAACATGCTTCTACGCCGGCTGCTTCTCTCAGACCGTGCTATCGGCGATATCGTCAGTATTGAGCACACGGAGCCAGTGGGTTGGTGGCACTTTGCCCATTCGTACGTCCGTGGCAATTGGCGACGCGAGGCAACCACAGCCCCTTCCCTCCTCACAAAGAGCTGTCATGACGTTGACCTCCTCCTCTGGTTGCTCGCCGCTCCCTACAAATCTGGCAGTGCCCATCCCTTTCACGTGCCAGTCTCTGTATCATCAACAGGGGCCTTGACCACCTATCGAAAGGCTCGCAAGCCCATAGCCGCTGGGAATGCCACAAATTGCATGACCTGTCCACTCGGCGACGATGGCTGCAAGTTCTCCGCCAAGAAGATCTATCTTGGACCCGAGCTGGCTAGCCTAGAAACAGGAAACCGCAGCTGGCCTGTCAAGATCGTTCTACCTGAGATTGAAGACATGCCCAATCTGGCGCAGGCGAAGCAGGCCCTTGCTATGAAACTTGGCGAGGACTACAGCGCGGCCACACCAGATCGTGAGGTCGCGGCTCGTCCCTGGTTTGGCCGATGCGTCTACGAGTCAGACAACGACGTCTGCGATGACCAATTCGTCACGCTCGCATGGGACGACGAGCCTTTTATCGAAGGAGCGCCGCCGCGGTTTGCCAAGCAGGCAACGCTGCACATGGTCGCCACGACGAAGAAGATTTGTGAGCGCTACTCGCACATCTATGGCACCAACGGAGAGATCTTTGCCGACTCGAGGACCATCACAGTCGAAGACTTCAGTACGGGGCAGAGGACTGTCTATAACCCCAAGGTGGAGTTGAGTGGCCATGGTGGTGGCGATATGGGTCTGGCACGTCAGTTTGTGCTAGCTGTGCAAGGAGTCAAGAATGAGGGCATGGAGGTGCGGACGGCTCAAGATGAGTTCATCGGGTGCTCGCTGGGTGAGGCGATCATGAGCCATCTCGTAGTGTTTGCTGCGGAGGAGGCACGACGTGAGGGCAAGGTGGTGAAACTGGGGGAGTGGTGGGATAGGGTATCCAAGGGTGAGCTGCAGTCTGAGGGGCATGAGGGCATCAGGTGGGAGACCGTGACAGAAAGACGCTCTTAATTTTGTGTGGGCTGATGAGCGGTATTTCCACACGGCCGTTCAGAGCATTAAGTTTATGACGACATGACGCATACGATACTGATAGGACTAAAGCCTTGCCAACCTAGCACCGGAAATCTTGTGTACTTCAAATTTGACCATATCTGCTCTGAGGTATTCGGTGACGCATGGACTAATGTCCGCATAAGAAGTCATGATTTGTATTGATGATTCGAGTGGAATGGCAATTTCACGTTCACGAAAGGGTACTATGGTCTAACTCTGAAGACAGGTCAAGTACCGCAAGACATTGCCGCCAAGGTTTGACAAATGAAAGTAATCGGATCATACATCTCTTGCATGCCCTTCTGCGGGCTGTCCACATTCCGAAGAGCCCGCATTCGCAATCATCATTTCATCACTATGAGCATGAGCATGAAGCCCATTCTGCCTAACTAAAAGAAGACCGACCAAACGAACCACGGTCGGGTTGTTCTTTGGAGGACTCTTCCGCATTGAGGGATCGGGGGAAGTGAATGTACCAGATCCCCGACTATAGCAAGACGAGTCTCCTTTTCGAGCGGACGAACTAAGCAGCATAGTAATCAACATGATAGAGCCGGGGAAAACCCCAACGGTACAGGTGAAGTGCTTCGAAGCAAAATTTAAGGGCCGGTAGTCACCATCAGTATTCACTGTAGTGACATGGAGTATGCGGATGAATCAGCCTTGAAGTCACATCCTCACATGGTTGCATGAGCTTGGAACAAAGATGAGCTAGAGTATTGCGTGGAGCTAGGATAGTTTGCTGGGAGGGTGGTAACCCTGGTAGGCTGAGGCTCTACTCTGAATGACCTTACCAAAACCGCCTCACAAGGCCGTTTCGACCAGCTCCAAGTGCGTAGGATGCCCAGGGCATTGACTCAACGCCGTCAAGGTGATGAAAGGGAGAACTTGAATAGACCATTCCGATCCAGGATAGTCGGCAATTAAGCACAGCTCATCTCCCTAAGTGTCAAGTATATCCGAGGCTTCTTCGGCAGGGATGAAATATAGTTTCGATATGCGGGAAATGCACGACGACTATGACCCCTGTAGCGCATTCGTTATGGACCCTCATGAGGTGAGGAGAGGAGACCGACCCTCCAAAACTGCAAAGCTTGATTCCATGGCATCACAAGTACAACGTGAGCTTATTAGGGCAATCAATTTGTGATTGGTCTCTCGAGTAAGGGGCTCGGATATCTTCGGATCAGCATTGGTGTGGCATACCACGCTTGGCGTGTCGGGATGAAGGCTCTTGGACTTTTGGTCGAACCCGCACAGGCCAGGCCAACGAGTAAGCCGGGCAATGGTATCGGCTGATGTTTCCTTTGGTCGAAAACAATCCATGTTGATTGATCGACACCTTTGCGGGGTATAGACGGCAATTCTGTCTGATGCATGGTCAAATGCGAGACGGGATGAGACGTCAGCTCACCTCTTACCTCGAGGTGCGTTGAGGGGTGGCTTTGAGTCAGCGTCTCACTCGCAGAGGGCACATTCTATAAGAACATGGCCTCGAGTAATTGAACTGCCTCACCGTCGAATCTGCTGCTGTTCCTTTCACCTTACCTTTCCAGTCAAATTGGACCCTCTTACGGAACAGAATTTACATCATGGCAGACAGCAACACAAGGGCCACTGCCCTTCCACCTCCGGTATACCACCTCACATCACACGACCCCGAAACAGGCAAGTCGGTCTTCAAATCTCAACCTCTCGAAGCCGAGCCCGACAACAAAATTCCTCAAACCACCCTCTGGCACCTTCACACAACGACCACCTTTCCAGCCAACCTCAATGACGAGGTCGATCTCAAGGAGCACTACGCCAACAATGTCCCTAGCATGAACACGCTCCACAAGTCGGGCGGTACCGTCTGTCGCATCGTCGACTTTGCGCCCGGTAACATACCCTTCATGCACCGCACCTCGTCGCTCGACTACGGCGTCGTCCTGCAAGGCAAGATCGAGTACTTCCTCGACGACGGTGCCTCGCGCATCTTCGGCCCGGGCGAGGTCGTTATTCAGCGCGGCGTCATGCACGGCTGGAAGACGGCGGGCGACGAGCCCGTGCGCATGCTGTTCGTGCTGTCGGATGCGCAGCCTGTCGAGGTGGCAGGGGAGACAAAGGGCACGTATTTGCCGCTGGACAAGATGCCCGAGAGCACGAGGAAGGCTATGGGTGGATGAGAGACGTTACAGGTCGGCGTACCTGATGCACTTGACGGAGCTGCGCGGGCTGTTGTTGGGGTTGTCCGGACGGTCTGAGATTTGACACGACTCGGTCTCGACGGCCGTAGTACGGATCAGGATTAAATCTACGATTTTGAGAGGCATTTCGTTCATCTCTCTTGATGAAAATCACAATTTCTGTTGTTTTGCCCTCGTCACGTCAAAGCCATACAGTTTCACGCAGCTCTGACGACTTGAAGAAGATTCGCCCAGGAAACATGTGTAGTGTATGTCCGTCTCACATCAATAGTCAGCAGAGAGTTGGTTTGATATCTACGAACATAAAATCTGTGTCTCGTCCACGTAGGAGGCCATAGAAGCTAGAACACTACTGTTGTGGTCATGCCAAAATGTCGACGAACACCAGCTCTCCCCCAGGCCTTAGTGCTCCTCGAAACGCTGCAACCCAGTTTTTGAACTTGCCGAAAGACTCAACTTCCTCTAGATCTTCAATCGTCTGGTGCTCCGAAGACGCAAACATTGTCTCGTTCGCAGGGGTCCCTTTCAGAGTCTTCCGGACGAGCTTTTGTCTCTTTTCGGTCCGTAACCCCATGAGCAAAAGACGTCGGAGCTGAAGGTTGGCACTCATGACTTTGGCAGCCTCGAATACGGCTATATTGGTCAAGGCTTGCTTCCGTCGTAGGTCCAACGTCAAGGTTTCCAAGTTCCGGCTCAGTATGGCCCAGTCGGGCTGCAGGACCACTGCTCGGTGCTCGTGTGTCATGTGCTCCCGATACTCCGAGGGGCACCACAAGAATCGGTGATATGGAAACGAAATCTTGGAGCGCCGGCGACAGAGTTCCCATATGCTCTCGAAGTCAGGATCTCGATCGTACACTTTGTTGGCTAGTAGTAGGTGACGAAATCGGTTGAAATCTGGCCCGCCTTCAGAGCCATCCACGGACATGGCGGTGGCTGTATGGGCATCGCGGTTGTTTTTGCTAGTATTCCCAGAGCCTGCCTTGGGAGGAGGATGCTTCACCAATCCTTCGTCAGTCCATGTTGCTTTGAACTTTCGCAGCCATTCACTAAGTTGCTCTTCGCTGGAGACACTGTCGTAGCGCACCCTGAACCGAAAAGCGTGCACAGCCCTGCGGCCAGCGTCTTGAAGCCCATGCAAGTATGCAGCCGGGAAGGAGCGGCGAAGCAGATTATTACAAGGCCTGAGATCAAAGTCATGCGGGATGACATTCACCGAAAAATGGTTGTGGTCTTTTCCGATGGTAATTGTTCCACGTTTGCCAAGGTGTCCTTTGGTATAAACCTCGATGTGAGGTGTGATCGCGGCGCTCTTACCGTCCGAGCAGAGCCAGCAATGTGGTTTCGGTAGAAGGGTGAAGATACAGCGCTCCTCACATAACGTCTCACAAATGATTTGAGCCTTGAGTTCGTGAGGCAACAAAGCAATACGCTTCATAAGACTACCGATGCTGCTCATTGAACCACTGTCTTCGGGTTTCCCGCTCCCTACAAGTGTCAAGCCTGTCTTCTCCGCCATCGGACGGCGTTTTGAGGGTGGATAGGGTGGATAGGGTGCAAATCGATGCATGTTGAGGGTGGTAGTGGCAATATCACACAGGTGGATGGTCATGAGTTTGACTTGTTAGTACTATTCTTGTGCTTATATGTTTTCTTTTTCTTGTATCCTTGAGCATGTGGTGCTCGACTGTATGAGCGCGTGTGCCTCTGAGCGCAGACGAGTTGCTTCAGCCTTGTTCCAGAACGTGAGCGTGATGCCCAGATGCTGCCGATGATAGCACATCAATGGCTTTATCGCATCCCAGACTTTTCGTTTCATCCAAAAAGGATTCCTTTCTAGCGAAGCAAGAGTTCTACTGCACGCTGGAAGTTTTCGAACGAGAAATGAGCAGCATTGCAAATCGAAGCATCTTGGGGTGACTATCTCGGCCTTTCTCACTTCTCAAATTCCAGGACAAGGTCCAACCAAAGCGCGGTACAACTCTCTCAAACGACACTCCGAAATGCAAGTCATTCTACCATGCAGCCGGCTTTGTTTACAACGGTCTCCCAACTGCCAGGCCTCCGTGTCATGCGAAACTGGCACTTGTTCAAAGCCCAGTCTCAGGTGCATGAGGTGCATTCAAGCCAGAAGAACACTGGTGGCGTCTATCCGTTCAATGATCACTAAACAGAACATGGTTGGTTTCCATTTTCTGCGCATGCACGTCCATGATGAAGCGACCTTGATCAAGGCTTGAAAAAGACGAATGCTGATGGAGCGATCATGCACATGCCTTACAACATGCATGGGGGGCCTGAAGCCACCATGGAAGTAAGCCGTTTCAATGATGTCCAGTCGTTCTGGTGATTCATGATGCGTACAGCCAACTAGCACTGGCCACTTGGTGTGCGCTTTGTCGATGGCAGAATCCGTGCACGTTGTACATGTAAGCCGTCTGCATAGAGGTGTCCATCATCACTGTTCAGGGAACACCCACTAGGACGGAGTGCCAAGGTTGCGGTGGCTATTGGTCGCCCAAAGAAATAACCCTCCGGCTTGTGCACGGCAATCGCAAATCAAATCGTATGGGGGAGTTAAGACTGTGTATCTCCCTCCTCAAATGAGTTGATCGTCTGTATTTTCGGGGTGCGTAGCCCGGAGTTAGACGGAGCTAAAACTAAACACCACAGATCGGGGCATGTGTTTTGAAAGGGATTATTAAGTTTGATGCGGGGGGCTTACCACCTACCGCCTCCTCACCAAGACAAACACGCCTGCATGGGGCCTACGGGGGATTGCGCGTTGGCCCATTGCAGTTGGCCCATTGCACACGATGGGCAGAGATCTCGGCGATACGCTACAGCGCCATGATCGACTTTCGGAGCTTAGACAACGTCACCATGAATGAGCCTCTCCTCACTCCGCCCTGAGACCGATTTCGTGGCGGCTCGCAGTATGACGATGCAAATTGGTGTATAAATACCTGGCGAGGTACGCTTCCTGTTCATCAGCCTCTGTGCACTGAAAGTCGACGTTCATCGTATATTGCAACATTCTACACTACACTTCAGATCCAATAGCCTTAACTTCAGCCTCCCTCACTCATGATGACGAGCATGTTCCAGCCCGCACCGGAGCCCGCGACCGAGCTCGGTCGCTACCGCGTCCTCTCGAGCACGGCCGGCGTCCGCGTTTCCCCCCTGTGCCTCGGCGCCATGTCGATCGGCGAGGCATGGAGCGAGAACATGGGCTCCATGGACAAGGAGCAGTCCTTCAAGCTCCTTGACGCCTTCCACGATGCCGGCGGCAACTTCATCGACACAGCCAACAACTACCAGAACGAGGACTCGGAAACGTTCATCGGCTCCTGGATGAAGGAGCGCGACAACCGCGACCTCATGTTCATCGCCACCAAGTTCACCACCGACTACCGCTCATGGGCGCTCGGCAAGGGCAAGACGGTCAACTTTAGCGGCAACCACAAGAAGTCGCTGCACATGTCGGTGCGCGACTCGCTGCGCAAGCTGCAGACAGACTACATTGACCTCCTGTACGTGCACTGGTGGGACTGGACGACGTCGATCGAGGAGCTCATGGACTCGCTGCACATTCTCGTCGAGCAGGGCAAGGTCCCTCTACCTCGGCGCCTCGGACACGCCGGCCTGGGTCGTGTCGGCCGCCAACACATACGCGCGCGCCCACGGCAAGACGCCCTTCTCCATCTACCAGGGCAGGTGGAATGTACTGCTGCGCGACTTTGAGCGCGACATCATCCCCATGGCCCACCACTTTGGCATGGCCCTCTGCCCGTGGGACGTCCTGGGCGGCGGCAAGTTCCAAAGCAAGAAGCAGATCGATGCGCGCGCCAAGGCTGGTGAGGGCTTGCGTAGCTTCTTTGGCGCCGAGCAGACGGACATTGAGCGTCGGATCAGCGAGGCACTCGAAGAGGTGGCTACGGAGCATAGCACCGAGTCCGTCCAGGCGATTGCGCTCGCGTACGTATTGCAGAAGACGAGACATGTCTTCCCCATGATTGGCGGCAGGAAGGTTGAGCACTTGAAGGACAACATCACAGCTCTCAGTATTCGCTTGACCGATGAACAGATTGCCAAGCTGGAAAGCGTCAAAGAATTCGAGCTCGGCTTCCCTTCAAACATGATCGGCCAGGACGCAAGAGAGACTGGTGTGGCGCCTATGCTCGTTGGTGCCGTTGCGCCCATGGCATGGGAGCAAGCCCCGAAGCCAATCTCAAAGGCTTGAAGAGACTTGAAGGCAAGAAAAAGCGTTTCTGGGTTGACCACGCTGTGTCGGCTTAACCGATGATAGGGCTAGACTCCCTAATCAGAAGTAATGGCATCAAACTACTTGGGCATGTTAGATCACTGATTTCAAAATACCAACTAAGAGCTTTGCTCCTGTGGAAGATGAGAGGGCAGAGACGTGCTCGTTCGCATGAACCTACTTGTCTGCGGTCGTGAGTTTCGATCCAGAGCACCCAAGTGATGAATTTAACTGTGAAGTATCAGGACGCGCCGCTCATCAAGCAATCCTTGCAGCAGGTTCCGTCCCCACCTCAATCAAATCCTTCAAGACACTTCTCGTTGCTCCTTTTCCATTCACTCGTTTGTTTTGGACCGCCCGGTTCAAGTGCGTCAACTGCATGCAGATCCCCTCCAGAGTCGTGCATCGCGCCTGGTATCCGATACCACCCTCCTCAACCGGCCTCTTTGCCGCCGAGTCATCAATGAGGCAATTCACAGCGGCTGTGAAGCATGCTGGTTGCAGCAAGTACAGAGGATTCTTCGGCTCCCTCATGCCCAAACGGGCCAAGAATGGCATTTTCCATAGCGCCACACACCAGACTTCGATAACCCGCGCAATCGCCATCATAAGAACTGGCGGAGGGTATAGAACGGTCGGAAATGTGGCGGACACGGCCTTCATGGCGGTGTAAAAGTCATCGAAGCGCAAGGGGGGTCCCGCATCGGTGACAAGAAAGGGTCGACCAGCAATACGTGCTTTGTCCACATGAGGCCCCAGTAACGCGGCTTCGAGCAGTAAATGAGCGAGGGAGACGTTGCTTGCGTGAGCCCAATTCTGTACCCAAGGAGCTGTGCAGGTAGGAAGGGTTGGAAGATTCAAGGTGGCACTAACGAGGAAGTCACCTGCGCCGCCATAGATGCTGTTGCCAGGTCGGATGGCACCAGTACGCAGGCCCGAGACAGGGGAGTCGGCTGCGCAGACAAGACGTTCAGCCTCGGCTTTGCTACGCGCATAGTTGGAGGGAAAATCTTCGTGCGGTCGCAATGGGGCAGAGAAGTCGTCCTCAGTCATCGTCTGAACAATGTTGGTTGGCCAACGTCGCCACAAAGGGCTGAACCAGGTCACTGGACGGAGTGCCACAGAGCAGGACGAGGTGAAGATGAAGATGTCGGCTCCAGCGCTTCTCGCAGCAGAAAGTACGTTGGCGGTCCCGCCAATGTTGACACGGGCATGGCGGTCGTACACCAAGGGATGGCGTTCTGAAGGTCGGATAGCAGCGGCAGTATGAAAGACAGTTAAGGGGAGCTTGGCAGAAGTTGCTTGCCACGGCTTCTTGAATGCGGCAAGAGTAGAGGCTTCAGACGAAATGTCGGTTTGGGCAAATTCCACCTCTCTGGCTAGAGGTATCTGAAGTTCGTCCCGTGTCGGTGGAACAAAGTCAATGATACGGATTGACGACGGCGCCTGACCGCGTTGTAGGAGCTGAAGTACAATTTGGCCACCAACCAAACCTGTAGCGTGTCAGTTTGCTGATGCAAGCAAGACATGTGGTTAGAATGCTATTGACCTGAGCCTCCAACAACGATATAGCGCCTTGCAAGCTTGGGCGGAAGATGCGGGCCCCAGTCGCAAGGTTGTTTCTCCATCCTTTGATAGGTTTCCTTCGCTGTTTCTGCGCGCCATGGGCTATCTGTTGCATGTTTGAGAGCTTCGGGAGGCGTCGTAGCCATGCCTCGATTGACTTTCCATACCCACAAGCCCATGGCCATGGCCCATAAGGAAAAAGCGAACAAGACGGCCATCGCCATTGTGGAGGTGAGGTGCTGGATGGCTCACTGCAGGCTGGTGATTGCTCCTGGAAGGACAGCGTCCAAGCACGCGACTCCTGCCAGGCTGATGGCTGCATAGGATTTTAAAGTAAAGAGGGCATGGATATCGTCACTATTAAAGTTCTGTCTGCCCCTGTCGTTGGTGGAGTCACCATGGCGACCTCCAACTTTTGGACAAGGGCGAAGGGTGTTCATAGTGAGGTGCAACGACGATCGTCATTCTCTTCTTCATATCCTAACGAGAGGTCGCCGCCCATGAGGATGCGGCATATCTCTCCGAGCAATTCAAATGAAGGTGATAACGCAATGTGGTAGACGAGAGGTGCTTTGTTCGGGTCGCAACACATTGTCAAAGCGACCCCTTGTCTTTTTGTGACGAAACATGGTTCGGCAGATGAAGGAACGTCAACGAGGGGTCAGCCACACTGGAGATGGTTGTGCTTAAGCCACACGTTGTATGGTATCGAGTCGGAGAAGGGAGGCGTCAGTCGATTGATACATATGTGGAGTAACACTTTGTTCGGGTACCTCAGGTTGCAGATGCAGGTGCCTGGATACGAGGCAGCCAGCACACCACCTCATCGCGAGGAAAAGTCAATGGTTGGTGTGTGGTATGGTGACGAAGACTCGGATTGGAGAGCGGGGGATCGTCGCTGAAGCTGCCGAGATCTGGTGGGTGGTGGGTGCAGGTGGTTGGGAAGAGGGGAGGTGCTACAAGCAGGTTAGCGGATGCACGGCACGGCCTTGGTACATACAGGGAAGACGTGGTGCACAGGGCATTGTACAGAATGCCATGCCGCCTAAAGCACGGGCGTCTCGTTGTTCCATCACGCTGTCGCCTCCGAGGGATTGAAGGCCTCGGCGGACAATCAGCCAGAGGTCATGTCTAAAGAAATGGAACTCGTTCGTGACGATCCTCTTCGGGTTGCTCAATGAGGCGAGGCGGCGGTAAGCCAAGCCAAGACAGGCCGCACTCGAATCAGACCATAGGTCCTGAAGGCGGCAGTGCTGCATCGCCAAGGGGGAGTTGTTGCCCGAACCCGCAGGTGTACCTATCTATGCCCTGGGCCTCTGAACAGCCGCGGGCGACCAAAAGAGAGGGGTTGGTGGGCATCGGGCTAGCAAGCTCTTCAGCGTGACAGGCCCAGCCCGAGAAGCCAAGGCGTGGCGCCAGACCACAGACAGAGACTTACAGAGGGACGGCTTGCGCGCTAAGGAAAACGGCGGGAGTACGGGAGCCAGGCGGGCAGTGGTGACGAGCTGGAGGTGTTGATCAAATCCATGACTCGAAGGTCATCGTGGTACCAGCAAGCCCGAAGGTTCAGCTGCACCCAGGTCTACGCGACCAAACACAACAAGAGGCGCTCACAAAGGCTTGGTCGGTGTTCGGTCTGGAATTTCGGTGGCCGCGTGGTCATCCAGAAGGACAGCTCGTGGGGAATGATTGGTGGATAGGGGCCGTGAGTTGAGGAATATCGGCCGACCATCCGTTGTAACCTCAATAGACCCCTCACTGCCTGGAAGGGGGGTGTCCAAGGGAGCAGAGCTAGGATTCTCAGAGTGGTGGAGTTTACCTGTCATGTGGAGCAGGCTCGAGTCGATGACATGTGCCACGATGGTCGGGGCAACCCAAGTGTCTGCTCGTTTGCAATAAAGCCTTGGCTTGCAAAGAACAACAGAAAGCGTCGGTTGGACGTTGACGATTGCGGGCATGTAATGGAAACGGGAAAGAAAAGCTAGAGAGCTTGACAGTTTGATGGACCAAGGCAGAGCATTCGCGTGGCAGAATTGGACGGAGGCGGATGGGTGTGGTGTTTCAACAAAAGATGAGACGCAGCGAGATGAGGGCGCCGTGGGTGGCCTGGTCTGGTGTGATTGCGCCAGGAAGGGGGTGTGGCAGGGAGATGCAGGCGAATGAATGCCCTGGAGGGGAAGCTCCTCGCCCAGGTACCTACCTTAGATTAGCCAGGTCCCCAGGTCTCCGGGGCGCCAGGACGCCAGGGCATGCCCGAGACAGTCGTCCCCGGCAACAGCGAACGGCTGGCCGGTTTGACGGACACAGCGATGTAACGGGCAACTATGTGTGTACCAGGGGTACCTGGAGCATCGAGCGCGGAGGGGCTCAAAACTGTGGCTGGAGCTGTCTAGAAGCGGCATAGCGCGGTGAGGAATGTGAGTCTCTGAAATTTGACGAGCAACATCTGCTGAGGACGCCGAGACGGAAAGTCCGGGGGGGGGGGTTGCAAATAGCACATGCGACCTGAAATGAGAGCAATCTGTGCTGGTTTATCTGACGCATAATGTCAAAATCACTGCAATCAGTCATGACTGGAATGGAGCTGTCGTGGGCTTCGGAGAAGCGGAGCGAGGAGGGGTTTTGTCTGCAAATTCCTCGTCTGCTTGTCTCCCACATGGCAGGGCTTTGACGAGACGAGACACCCCCAAAGCGAAACCAGACGCGCCAGGTGGTGCGACTGTCAAGCGACAGTGCTGCCTCGGACGTCATGATGCACAGGGCTTCAAAGTACCGCAAACAGGAGGCCACCCGTTTAAGTGCGCGCACAGAGCAATCGACCAAAGCCCGTATCATGTTGTAGAGGGTCAATTGATGAAAGCACGAGCAGATGATGATCATGATCACGATCAT